TACTTACCATGGACTTAGAGTAACCTTGGCTAACGCTGGTGTTCTGTAAGATTGTTTATGTCTAACAGGAGAACAACAGAGTCTACCTGTGAGGACCAAGCCAGCTTGTACCAACACTCAGGCTTAGCTGTGAGCATCTGACCACTTCCTGGATAATATGGGTGACTTCTTTTCTTTCTCTTTTGTCCAAGGACAGATGAAGTCCAGCTACAGGACATTACTCCCTGATACCCAGATTTCCCTACTGCCGATCAAGATGGCTGTTTAGAAAACATGGTCTGTTTTGGGGCTGAGGATAGTCCCTCCTGCTTGCTGCAAGATGAACTCTTGCATTCTTTGATATGCAAGTGGCCGTACATTAAGAGGTCAATATAAAAAGCCAGGAAGGTTTGCATCGGTCAACGTAACACAAGCCATTATCAGAAACAAATATCGGGGGTGCCTGGGTGGCTCAGTCGGTTAAGCGTCCAACTTCAGCTCAGGTCATGGTCTCACGATTCATGGGTTCGAGCCCTGCATTGGGCTCTGTGCTGATAACTAGCTCAGAGCCTAGAGCCTGTCTTCAGATTCTGTGTCTCCGTCTCTCTCTGACCCTCTCCTGCTCACGCCGTCTCTATCTCTCTCTCAAAAATAAATAAAACATTTAAAAAAAAATTTTTTTTTTAAAGAAACAAATATCAGTAACAGGTCTTAAAGTCAGGGGCCCAGATTAGTAAACCCAGCGAACAAAAACATGGCCCAGAATCCAACCAAGTCTGTTTTAGACAAGCAGGTGGCTTTTTCCTTGAGCTTAGTCACAAACTCTTCCACTTGCTCTGTATTATTTACATAAATGTAACAAGTAATATTTGCTATAGCACGAACTCTCCCTTGGCTGGCTAGGAGGAGATCAAGGGCCGGGCAACTGTCTGTGACAACACTAGCTCATGAATCTAGACGAGTTTGTTGGGCTTCCAGAGCAGAAGTATGTCATTTATGACTTCTATTCATGGCAGAGACAAGTTTGGGGCCACCGATCTAGCTGCAGTACCTGGTGTAGTTGTAACAAGAGAATCAATTATCCCTCTTGTGAATTCTCTTGAATAACCTATCTTTGCCTCATTTGGGAGGCTTCTGGGTGTCTTTCTCAAGGTATAAGGCTGATATCTTCATAAGATGTAGTACTCTAGTGAAGCGCAGATGATATTAGAAATAAAACTATTATTTACTACAATAAGAATAAGCCAATTTGGGTCTCTCAAGATGGACAAATCCCTTTAGTGGAGTTAAACAGTTCTTGCAAAGCAGGTTGGAGAGGAAGGACCATTGCAACCAGAGTATCCTCAGTATTAGTGCCTACTCTTGATCGACTAGGACTTGCTGATAAGACTCTAAGGACTTCAGCAGCAGCATTTTGTTGATGTGAGGTCAAGGTCCAATTTTTATAAGACTAAAGGTCAGGCTTAACACTGGGAAGGAAACAGGTACCAGAAGGGAACTGTAAAAGGGAATCTACCTCCTGAGGTGTTGGAAGGAACAGCTATTAAGTTTTTGTCAGCAGGGATAGGCAGGGGGTAACACATCCAGCAGTCAGTTCAATTCAGGGCAGTGGTTACAGAAAAAACACATAAGAGGGTTTGGTGTTTTTCTTCAGAGGTGGAAGGAGACCTGAGGAGGCAAACCATAATCGGATGGAGACAAGGGATGTCACGTTAGTGTTCTAGAGGGCATCAGAGTAGAGTAATAAGCAAGACTAGTAGAAGAAGAAAGGAACAAAACGAGTGTTGAAGAATCAGAAAACTAGTCTTGTTCTGTCATCTTGGGCAGAAGCTGTCCACTTCTGAAGTCAGCAGCTTCTGGAGGATTCCCAAGAATGCTCTTCACATGGAATGGATGTCTGGTAATCAGGATGAAGTGATATATGTCTTTTGAGGTGGAAACCGTGAACCCAAGGATCAATACCTTGGAGCTCTACTGCTATGACAGCTGTTAACGGTACCTGATATGGCCCTTTCTGTGAAGGCTCAGGAGCAGCTTTTCTTTAGTCTTTTCCAGAAGACAAAATGTCCAGCTTGCAGACCACGCAGAGGCTATTTAGGTAGATATTTGGAAATGTGGCTTGCACCCGTTGGTGACAAAGCTGGAGGTATGGTATGAATGTCTTGCATGAGCTATTCATATCTGCTGATAATCGGGTAGAATCTAAGGCGGGGGGGGTGGTGAAATTCCCCAACACATAGGGCTTATTATTTCACTAATCATTTTTTAAAGTTTATTTATTTGTTTTTGAGATAGCGAGCAGGGAAGGGGCAGAAAGAGAGAAGGAGAGACAGGATCCCAAGCAGGCTCTACACTGTCAGCACAGAGCCTGACACGGGGCTCGAACTCACCAACCTTGAGATCATGACCTGAGCCCAAACCAACAGTCAGATGCCCAACCGACTGAGCCACGCAGGTGCCCCCTCATAAATCCTTACTATTTCATGAGATAACTCGCCAGGCTGAAGGGGGTTGACCTTACAGACATTAAAGCTAGTGGTAATACTATAAGCTATAGAAAGTTTTAAGGTTTCTGAGAGCTTTGTTAGTTCTACTCTTGGAGTTCCATTAATTCTCTTTGCTTTTTCTGAGGACTCTGGATGATGAGTACAGTGTTCTAGGTAAAAGAGGGATGTTTATAGAGCTTCTCAATCACAGTGCTGGTAAATGAGTTTCTCTGTCACTAGAGAGATAAGTTGGAATGCCCCAGGCTGGGAAAAAAAATGAAATCAAGATTGTATTTTCGCCACATTCAGGGCCTGTTACGTGTTGAATTGTGTGCCCCCCAAATTCATATGTTGAAGTCCTCACCCCCAGAATGTGATTTTCTTTGTAGATAAGGCCTTTGCAGATATAATTAGTTCAGTTAAGATGAGGTCCTCAGGGTAGGCCCTACCCAACATGACTATAGTGTCCTTACAAAAAGGAGAAGTTCAGACACAGAAAGGGAAAGTGATGTGAAGAAACACGGGGAAAGGCAGCCATCTACAAGTTAAGGAGAGAGGCCTGGAATAGACCCTTCCCTTACAGCTTCAGAAGAAAGCAAGACAGGGCACCGGGCTGGCTCCATCAGTAGAGCCCGGGACTCTTGATCTCAGGGTTGTGAGTTTCAGCCCCATGTTGGGCATAGAGCTTGCTTAAATCAATCAATCAATAAGGAAATAAAGATGAAGAAACCAACCCCACCTTCATCTTGATTTCAGACATCTTGTCTCTAGAACCATGAGACAACCAATTTCTGTTATCCAGGCCACTCACTCTGTGGTACTTTATCAGAGCAGTCCTAGCACACTAATACAGGGCTGTGCTCTCTGAGAGGAAAAGCTTTAACCCACCCTGAAAACAAACAATAACCAGGCATATTTATAGCCTGTTGAGGAGACATTTGTGTAAAGTCTATTTGGGGGTGTTCAAAGGACTCTCCAGGTTTTGGTTCCTGTCCATGACCCACTTTACAATTTTAACCAAGATTGTGTCGTTAGCTGGTAGGGCATGTTTTGGAAACATTTTGACAATACCTCTCAAATTATCCCATCAATGGCGGTGGAATATCATGGCCAATTTGCCTCCACTGTTGTGGATAATATCACGAGGAATTCTTGCTGAAATCCATTTTAAAGGATTTGGCATCCCCAAATATTTTCTTCACACAATGAGCCTTCAAATATTTCCAAGGTATCTTTTTTTTTTTTTTCCCAAATTAAAGGCTTATCACTGACAGTTAGCAACAGTTAATGACAATCTGTCTCTGATAGTTAGCAACAACCTCAGAAGAATCCACTAATTCCTCCAAAGTCCTCTCCTTTCTGAGTAATCACAGGAGCAATTATCTTGGCCAAAGCTGCTTGATTAGCATAGCAGTCAGCTAAGGTTTTCGTAGGAGATTCTGGTTTCTTGCTCTTTGAATTATGCTCCCTTTTTACTATAGCTATTTCCTGAAGTATCTAAAAGCATCTAAAAGTTCTGAAAGTTGTCGGTTTTTAGCGGTGCTTCTGTCAAGGTCAGCAAACCATTATTTCAAGGCATTTTGAAGTCAGATTAACCCAAAACTATATGCTATCAATACAGATATACCTTTATCTTTTGGCATTTGGTAAATCTAGGCAACGACGACCAATTTAAGCCCTTTGAACTGATAGGTGATAAGTGAATAGTTTAAGAGTGAATTCAAGCCTGTGACAGCGCATCCAGTTCTCCAGTTTGTCAATTTGGGTTTTTACTTTTCACATATGATATAGTTAAATCAGCGTTACTCAAGGAGTCCCTGGAAGGTCTGTGCGGTGTATGAATAAGTGCCTCCTGTTGTTTCTTTTTCTTTAACAAAGACAAACGGTTACGGGATTTCCTTTCTCAGGCAAAGGAAGGAGGCTGAGTTCATAGTGTGCAAGCAATGGGTGGTGGTGTCCAAAGGAGAAAGCAACACCTTATGAGAGGTAGATAACAAGCTAAAAAATGGTGAGCGTTGGTTTTTTTTTTTTTAATACAAAGCATGAAAAACTATGGGGTTCAGTTAGAACTGGCCTAGCTGAAGTTTTTGTGTGTTGACCTACTGCTGTTACAGCTCTTAAATCAGGGGGATGCTAAAGCAGGCATGGCTTCAGGGTCTGACAAAAGACCAAAATAAGCAATAGGCCACTGATGAGTGTCTCGGAGGAGCTTGTAAGGTAGTACCCCTGGGGCCTGTTCACACTTTTCATGAACCAAAGGAGAAAGGTTGATTGTGAATCTAGAATGCTGAACAGTTTTGTGGTAATGTTATTATATAGGGCTTCGTGCTTATACATAAATGTTTCTTCTACCTTGAAAAATATTCAATCATTGAAATATATTCATATATAACCTAGTCCTGGTCCACCTATGTCATAGTTCAGGCCAGGTCATAGTGGGTTGATGAGCACACAATAGGGCAGTCTGGGTGGGGCATGGGTATACATACAGGCTTACACCCTGGGACAGCTCAGACACCGCCGAAGAGTCTAGATGAAGACATCAGAAACCCACCTTCGTGGCGAGGCTCCAGTCTAGAGAATTACCAACATCCATTCACCCACCAGGTGAGAGTCGGATCAGAAGAACAAGGCAACAGCAGGTGGAGTAGATAAGACACATAGAACCAGTAACTGCACAGTGGTCACCAAGCTGGGGCTTAGAGGTGAAACTCTCTGAAGAAGACTATTTCTTTACTATCTCTTTATTCATTCAGCCTGTTTGTTCCAAAATGTATTGGAGATAGCTTACAAGGCCTCATTCAATATAGCAATCTAAACAAATCTTAGATAAAGATGTAGAGGGCCAATGGATAAAGGTACTGGGCAGTTAAGCTAGCCCAGCCAGGTACAGATCCAGTTCTGACACCGGGTCTCAGTACAAACTAGCAGCAAAAGGGAGCATTTAAACTAGGGGCAAGACGGCTTCAAAGGAGACAGTGGACCTGGACTTGGGAGGGCAAGTAGCACTTGTGTGAGTGGGGATGAACTAACAAGCATTTCAGGCCAAGTGAGCACTGATACCTTCGTGCCTAGAGCAAAGATGGTGGGGAGGAGCCTTGGGGATTGAATGGGGCTGCAGGGGACTTAGCAAACCTGAAAGCTAAGTCCTGGGGTCCTGAAAGCCTGCTAAGGAGCAGGACTGGGCTCCTGTGCAAGGCCTCAGCAGTTTACAAAGGCCCTGAAGTGTGAGAAGCTGAGATATGCCTTAGAAAATGTGATGAATAATAAGGTAAATGATGCGTCCCAATGTGACTGCATGTAAATCTCTATGTATGGGAACAAGCAGGGATGAGTGTCTTTAACAAGCATTACCTGGTTACTGTAATATAAGGAGTCTATGACACCATAGAATAGGAGCAGGGAGAGTGGGTGGAGATAACAGGGGAAGAAAGATTCAGGAAACTCTTAGTTATTAATGGCCCCTTTTATTTGTACCTCTGCCCCGAGGGAAGGTGTTCAGAGGGAGAGATACATTCCCTGACATGACAGGCATGTGTCAGCACAAGGTGCTCTCAGAGTGGACCAGGGACCCATGGGGGGAAGGAGCCATGATGCCTCCACTGTGAGGTATTGATGACCCAACAAACTAAGGACTCCCATTGGTGGAAGCTGGCCAATGGCTGCCTCTTACTTAATCACATCCTCAGTAAAAGTAGCCAGTGTGTTTGATTCCTACCTCATAGTGTAGGGTGGGACTGTTAAGAAGAATAGGGATGGCCTTAGAAGGTAGTGTTCTCCCTATAACATTATGAACTCACACACTTAATCCTGCTCTAAGGGAAGCAATGCAGGGTTACAGAAGTCGGATATCCCTGCCATCACTATTCACATTGGAGTGTGGGGCGGGGGGCGGGGTGGAGAGTGGGTAAGAACCATGATGCCTCCATTGTGAGGTATTGTTGGCCTAGCAAACTAAGGTCTCCTATTGGTAGAATCTGGCCCAATAGCTGCACCCTACTTAATCAAGACCTCTATCATCAGCAGCCAAAGGACTCGATTTTAAATGCAGTACTCCTCATGATAGGTCATTAGGAGCAATAGGGGTGACCTTGGAAGTAGTCCTCCATGACACATCCACTTCCTCTCGCCAGATCTCATCCTAAGAAAAGGTCTTGAGTGGATAATAAAAGTTGTCCCTGACATCTCTATTCACATGTCAACACAAGGTGCTTTGGGATTGGCTAAAGGACCCACCTGGGGTGGAGGATGCCTCTTTTGTGAGGCTTTATTTGTCTCTCAAACTAAGGTCTTCCATTCGTGGAATCTGGTCCAATGGCAGCCTCCTACTTAATCACATCCTCAGTATCAGCAGCCAATGTGTCAGATTCCTGCCTCAATACCCATATCACAGGGTAGGGCCATTAGGGTCATAGAGATGGCTGTAGAACTTAATGTTGCCCGCCCATAACACTCCATCTTCAACTAAGCCTAGTTCTAGAAGAATGAGTAGAAGATAGCTTAAGTCATTCCTGATGTCACTACTCATATGTCAGCACAAGGTGCTGAGTGACTGAGGTACCCGGGGTGGGGGGGGGAGGAATTATGACACCTCCATTGTAAGGTGTTGATGGCCTCTCAAACAAAGGTCACCTATGGCTAGAAGCTGGTCCAAAACTCCTTGTTTTTGCAGTCTCATCAGCAGCCAATGTGCTTGCATCTCACCCCAGAACTCCATATCATAGTTTCTGATCTTTGTGAAGACTAGGGTTGACCCTGGAAGATAATGCTTCCCCCAGGAGATCTCCACCTCTACACACTGCATCCCGCCTAGAAGAAGGAATCCAGAGGGTTGCAGAAGTTATCCCTAACAGGACTATTCATATACAAGCATAAGGTGCTCTCTGAGTGGCCAAAGAAAGCCACTCAGAAGAGATGGGCAGAGACATAATGGCTCCATTATGAGGCGTTGATGGCCCCTCAAACTAAGGTCTCCCATTGGTGGAAACTGGCCCAATGGCTGTCCTTCTACTTTATCACACTCTCAGCAGCCAATGTGTTCATTTACCACCAGAGCATTCCAAATCATAGGGTCCAGCCATTAGGAGGAATAGGGGTGGCCTTAGAAGGTAGTAGTCCCCATGACATATTCACTTCCACCAACTAGACCTCATCTTTGGAGAAAGACCTGCTTGGGTAGCATTTGTCATCCCTGATATCACTATTCATATGTCAGCAACAAGGTACTCTCTGAGTGGCTGACGGATCCATGGTGGGGAGGAGCCACGATGCCTCCATTGTTGGGTGTTGATGGTCCTGCAAAGTAAGGCTTCCCATTGGCGGGCTCTGCCCAATGGTGGCCTGGTCCTGCATCAGATACCCTGTATCAGCAGTCAGTGTGCTTGTTCACCACCCCAGCACCTCAGATCATAAGGTCTGGCTATTTAGACAAATAGGGGTGGCCTTGAAAGGTAGTGCTCCCCCCATGACATCTCCACCTCCACACAGTGCAATCCACCCTGGGGAAGGAATTTAGAGGGTTCCAGAAGTCATTCCTAACATTACTATTCACATGTAGGACCAAGGTTCTCTCTAATTGGCTGAAGGGACCTATGAGGGGAATGAACTATGATGCTTCCATTGTGGGGCACTGACTGGCCCCTAAATACATATCCCATTGGTAGAAGCTGGGCCAATAGCTACCCTCCTACTTGATAATAGACTCTCTCTGCCAACCACAGTGGGGGTTTGTGTTAGATCTAAAGGTGAAAAGGTCTCTCCCCCATTACCACTCCCCTGAGTATACAGAAAGCCTAAGTGGGTTTTAATGAAGGGATTATTATATCTTGAGACATTAAGTGATAAATGTCGCTGAGAGTTTGTGGAATAGGAAAGACAGTATTGCACAAAATGGGAAAGTAATTTTTAAACCTTTCCACCTAATTATATGTAAATGTATATAATATATGATCTATATAATTTATATATCATATAAACATATAATGTAAAAACAGTGCCAGTCAGAAAAAGGTATGGGCCTTTTCCTGACCCCATTTGAATCTGTTGAAAGGGATTTTAATTTCCTTCTGGGATATATATATGAACTGGGTCGTGGTTGCTATGGAGATCTCAAAGCTCATCCTAACTTCTTGGTGGTTATGTCTGAAATTATGTCTTTGGGGAGATTCAAATTATGAGAATGAGGACTGTGGGTGTCTGCCTCTCAAGATGCCACTTGTTATCAGCTACCCTCATCTACTAAACTAGAAAGACTCATAGATTCCCAATCTTAATAGATGATTACATTTCATAGTAGATCTTTTATCCTGTCAACCATCCTGAATAACACACCAAATTAATTTGGGGGCATAAATGGATGTGCTTTTTAGGAGAGTTTGGCTCTATTTTCAGCTGTGAATTATGCATTAGTAAGAATTATTTGGACAGCATTCATCATCATTTCCGAAGTTAATGAAATTCCATTACACTTCAGTACATTTTCATTTCACCCAGTGGTAAATTAATTCTCCCTCACTCTTTCTGTCTCTGTCTCTTGCTCCTCTTTTGCATCATTTACAGTAGTTACAGAGTGGGAACATGGAGAGGCTTCCTAAGTAGAATAAGTTAAATAAGGGCCAGGAAAGACAGATGTTACCGATTCCCTCAATAATGACGATGTGCTCTATAACTCAACGCCAAGATGAGCAAGTCTGCTTGTTTTCACAGCTGTCACTGCTGTTTCCACTGCTCAAGAATTCAGGGCAGGGTCTGGGTTTCTGGGACGTAGCTGGGCTACAACCTAGAAGTCTGGCATAGAGCTCATCTCCTTAACACACAGCTCCCACTTGTGAGCTGCTCGCCGCGGTGCTTGCCACCCAATCACATTGCTGAATAGACTGCTTGACCTGGGGGAGCTCCATGGGCAAGTGAGAGGGCCAATAGCATTGCCAGGTCCAGCTTTGCCCCACCCAGGAGAAGCGAACCTGGAGCTCTCCTAGGTGCTGGATATTCCCCTTTCATTGTTACTGGTCTCCTCCTTCCTGGTCCCACCTCACTTCAAACCTAGTCACGGCTCAAGCCAAATCCTGCTCCCACAGGTCTCCTGCCCAATGGCCAATAAATCTCTTCTTCTGTCTGGCACTCTAGCAACTGCCCAAAGTGCACCCTGGAAGCTACTTTGACCCCCACTCACAAGAGGCTCTACATGTTTCTAGACTTTTCTTCCAGCTAATAGTGCAGTGGTTAAAAGGGAATTCTGGCTCAGAAGTCAGAAGGAGGAGCGTTAGAGTGCCTTGGACTTCCATGGGAACACTGCCAAGTTCTGTACCAACGTGAGTCCTAGTTTCCACAGCATGAGATGGAGATGATATCTCTCTCACAGACTCATTATGAGCAAGATATGAGATAATGTATGGGAAAGTATGGAGCCTGGGGCCTGAAACTTGGTAAATGGCTGCTATTATGATTATTACTAGCTCATTCTAATGATGTTCTCTGACTGCTTTCTGATTTTCTGCACTTTTTCCCTTCAATTTGCTGTTGTGCACAGCCTCCTGCCCATCCCCCACAAGGCTTTGAGGGGTAATGGGAGGCACTAAAGTGTGGCAGTTCCAGCCCCACTCATACTA